CGTCGAACGTGCCTGTCAAACATTGTTGCCATCATGCTTTTCAGTTTGGCAGGCACGCCCGCTGTTATAAAGATAATAGACAAAAAGGGACATAGGATTCCATACTTGTAAGTATATACGATGGTAACAGGTGCCAAAAAACCTGTACGTCAAACTACTTTTGTGAGAGTAATATTACGTTCAAATTGGCCCCATTTAACTTGTTAAATGAAAAAAAGCTTTTTGTAAAACACAATCGTCCACATCGAACATTTCGAGTTAACTTTGACGGTTGATTTCAAATAAATGGCGTGCAGGGTTAGAACTGCGGCAAGCTTAAATCGGAAAATCGTAGCAGAAAATAATGTTCCATAGTAGTATTTTTTATAGGTCCCTCGTTTACTGGAGATCGTCATAATCCAAAGAGACATTTTTTTCAGTTAAGTATGCAAAAATGGCTGCCGATCCTTATTTTTTATTCGCCGAAAATGCGTTACGCTATCCTCCAATTGTTTCCCTGGAACTTAACCCTATAAACCTTAGACTCTACAATCTCTCTTTAGCCAAAGTAAGGAACCAAATGGATTTTTAATGACAGAGTTATCATCTCATATTTGAAGCAAGTGTTGCATATTTTAGCGAAAGAGAGGATACAACTATCTTTAAAATACCATTTCAACTATTATTATCGTGGAAAAATTACGAAATTTATGCCATTTTCCAGAAAGAATACCTTTAAGAGGCATATTTTTATTAAGATATAGTATGTGCTACATAAAAATAAAAATTAGTCTAATATTATTTATATTATACCTTAAAAATTACCTGAATTCATCAATTCATGTTTGTATTAAAAAGAAAAATAATTCTATTTTATGTTTTTCTTTTTATAGTTTAGATACTGCAAAAGGCGTACTTTATTATTTTGGAATTAAAAACGTAGCAGATCGTAGGTAAAGCGGAGTAGCGTAGAAAGTTTAAAATTTTCTCTGAAACCGTAGTAAATCTACTACGATCGTAGTGAAACTCTAACCCTGTTGGCGTGTCAAATGAAAGCTTTCGGCTCATTCTGATTGGCTGAAGCAGAAAGCTTTCTGATACAACTCTGCGCTGAACTGGTTTTCAAACGAGTTAAATGATTTAACTGGTTCAATTTTCCAACAACAATTGCATGCTATTTAACTTGTTTATGAACATGTTTTGTTCATTTAACTGGTTCAAGCCCATTTAACATGTTAAACTCGTCAATTTGAACATAGTATAATGCAGCGTTTTTGCTGCATTTAAAATGCAACATTTAGCACTTTCGAACATATGTTTTCGAAGAGCGTTCATGCTATAGCATTTAGCAAATGTACATTTACGCGAATTCGAAATCGCATGCTTTTGACAAACAGCCGGGTTCCAGTCTCTTATTTAGATGCGTATATATTACGATCAATTCTCACGCAGAAGATAATGTGCAAAAACCCTTCTGAAAAGGAAAAAATAAATTTTAAACCAAAAATTCAATACAAAAACTTGAATTGTTTTAACCATAACCGAACATTTGTCTGTGTATATATTTATTTGTCGGTGCATTCAATTAAAATTTCCTCACTTAATTAGGAAACAAACCAAACAGAGTTGATCACAAATTGATCTATCAGTATCAAATCGATGTTGAATTTGCTTAACTTTTCTTTATCCAAATATGTAATGCAAAATAAAAGAAATCTCGATCGGCGATCACTGAAACGCAGCTAGCAACTGTATACCCGAAAAAGCAATGTTGCCACTTTTTCTCTTTAAACCATGTTCGAATC